ATGTAATATATAATATTTATACACATAAATATATCAATTCATACTGCCGATCAATGTGTAAGGTAGAAAATAACACTGGTTTTGCTAGCCGCAATAAAACATTCTTAAAACTTTTGGTTAAGGCTGCATTTTTATGTGATCATCAAGTAATCTCATTCCTCCCAACTCCCTTTTTTTCTAAGGCAGAATTATCAATTTGGACAAAGCAAGCAGGGCTCAGGGGTGGAAATAACTGTGTTCTATTGCACTGCAACAATAATTTTTTGACAGTAGTGTTACAGAGGGAATGGCCTGAAAAAATGACAAAAATCTTTTCTGTCTCCTTAAAATATTCCTCTCTCTTTTTGGGGACTGAAACCTTCATCCCTGTCTCAGGCCAGTGGTGGGGAGGGCAGGGTATTGTCTTTTGTTCTTTGCACTGCAGGAGATGGCTCAGGCAGGGAGGCAGAGTGGAGGTCCTAGAGGTCTGGGTGGGCCTCCCAGGTGGGCAGAGGTCACAGGATTGTTTTAGGCAGAGATGGGATGGAAATGGGACCATCAGTATCATCAAATGTAATTGAACAACACTTGCCTGAAACTGAGAACCCACCCTTTAAAAGCTCTGTATTTCTGCTTATCAGGATGACGATGGCATTACAGACAAGGGTCTCCATCTTCCCCATTTGCCAGCAAATTAATGAATCTCTTTCTCCAACCACTTATCCTCGTTCTTCTGATGTGGCCTCAAGGACCAGTGCTGAGCTTTTGGTGACAGTAGCATACGTTGGTAGGTTGAAATAGAATTAAATGGGAAATATTTAAAGCTCACCCTAGTCTCTAAAACATAGATTGTTGTATTTAATGCATCTTAGTTTCATCCCCTCCCCCTTCACCACATTTTTACTATAAATGAGCCCTGTTAAAATGACAAAGATTTTCTCCTTAGGTTTAGAGTTTGGAGCTTACATACTTGAACTTACTATTTAAAAATCTAATACTATCAAGCTGTTTTATAAATGTTCTTTTTTTTTAAAATATGCTTTTGCTCCTTATCCTCCTCAGGTTTGATAAAGATATCTCCAAGGGTATCAGAGTACTGGCATTATTTAGTAAGAATAGGAAAGGGAGATGCTCTTACTGTTAAACGCTTCTAAAACCAAGTCCATCTTGTCTCCACTCAATAAAGCAATCTTTTAAAATGTCAGAAACATTGGCTAAGTTTTTTACATTATGTATGCATTCTGAGCATTGCATGAGTATCTGGGTCATGTTTAACATCTTCTCTAGTATTTGTTTCATGAAATACTTAGTGAAAATGATTCTAAATCTTGAGCACTTTTAAATCATGTTTAATACTTCTCCATTATTAATTAACGTAAAAGTAAATCTGAATTTATTAGGACAACAGTCCATTAGAAATCTTAATTTTGTTGTTAGAAAGAAGGAATTTTTTGGTTTGACAAAAGAAATCATAAAACCCAATTCTTTTCTTTAAAAGCTTTGTTTAACATTATGAGTCATAATTTCGATAAATAACTTTCATTCTGAACAATTGAAAATGTCCTTACCTTGCTTCTTTTTATCAGTTTCCTGGTTGTTGTTCTCAATTTTCATCAGCCTTTTGGCCAGGGTTTTCATCTCGATGCTTTGTGTCATATCTTCCAGAACCTCTCTTCACAGTTGTAACTTTATTTAACTTTAATATAAAAATGTTATTGTTGTTTTTACAGCACAGCTCCAAACTAGAGTTATGCTACTTTTGAAGAGTAATTCAAAGTTTATTCAGCATATGTTTCAGCATTTCCCAAACGATCAGTGGTTCTTCAAAACCACGTGGGTACTAGGAAGTTATGTAAACCACAATATTCTTGTGAACAAAAAGAAGTTTGTCGGGGAGGGGAGAAGCTTAGTAAAATAAAAATTAAAAGGTGGGTAAGAACATATGCATATTTTCTTACTTTCTCAACAGGAATCTTTTTCTGAACCACAGAACACAAAATTAGTCAAGTGGCTATTTTTCCAATTCTCCCAAGAGTGGCACATAGCTAGTATCCTTCAAGAGCCACAGGAGAGACAGATACTAATTAATTATTACAAAATGTATGCTTTAGGATATTACTGCTTAATTATCTTGTGTTTAGAAAGACTACCTTAAAAGTAACGAAATCAAA